ACCGGCACCGGCGCCGGCGCCCGCAGCGTCAACTGGCGGCCGCTGGGACAATGGGTGCAGCGGCGGCGGCGGTGTGTCTGCCCGCTGCGGCGGCGGCGGCGGCGGCGGCGAGCGCGGCGCGGGTGGCGACGCTGGCGGCGACGGCGGCGTCGACAAGCCGGACAATACGCCCGCGCCGCCGCCCGCGCCGGCGGCGCGGCCTGCAGCTTGGCTGCCGGGGGCATATCCGGTCTCCTATAGCAGAGGTGGCCGTGAGCCCGAGATGGGCGAGATGGGCCGCCGCCGGAGGCTTGTCCGCTCTCCGCGTGTCCAGCGGCGTTGTCGAGGAGGGGCGCGGAGTACTCGCGGAGGGAGAAAGGGGCGCGGCGCGGCGCCGAGGCGCGGGGCGAAAAGGGCCATAGAGGGGAGGGGCCGCCCCCGGCACCACCGCCCACGGCGTTGGAGGAGCCGCCCGAGCGCCGAGAGTAGCGCGAGGAGGGACGCGGCGGCAGCTCCTGCGCGGTGCGGGCGACGCGCGCTTGGCTGCGCTTGGCTGCGCTTGGCTGCGCTTGGCTGCGCTTGGCTGCGCTTGGCTGCGCTTAGCTGCGCTTAGAGCTGAGCGGAGCTGAGCGGAGCGGAGCCGAGATGCGCCGAGCTGCGCCGAGCTGCGCCGAGAGGCGCCGAACCTGTGCGAGAGGCGCGCGGCGGCTCCGCCGCCGCAGACTGCCGCCGCTCGCGCAGAAGGCGGCGAGGAGCAGAGCCGCCTGCAGACGTGTCGTGGGCGTGTCGCGGACGTGTCTCGGACGTGTCGTGGACGTGTCGTGGACGCGTCGTGGACGTGTCGTGGACGTGTCGTGGACGTGTCGGGTCCGTGCGAGGGGCCTAACCCTAACCCTAACCCTAACCCTGCATGCGGTTTGTCGCGGGTCGCAGAGACGTGGTGTGGTGCGGTGCGGCGCAGTGCGGTGAGGGGGGCAGCGCGGCCTGCGTGGCGGCCGCGGTGGCGGCGGGGCCCGCCTCGGCACCGCCCAAGAGTGGAAGTCGCTCGAGGCCTGTTCACAGCTGCGCACCCGTGAATGAGACCCTCTTCACAGCAGGCGGACGGTAGCGGAGTCCGCTCGAGGCCGAGCCAGGGCGGCGGCGGCGGACCGCCTAGGAAGGTTCCGAGACGGTTCCGAGACAGCTCGGGGAGAAGACTTCGGACCGGGTGGAGGCTGGAGGGCCGATCGGGCTGTGCGCTCGCCGGACGTACCAGAGCTGCGCCAGGTACAGGGCGAGCACGAGGGCGCCGACGTACGCCTGCGACACCGCGGGGCCGCCGCCGGCGAATGAGTCATAGTCAATCGCAAGTCATTCATCGCACGTCCTCCACCCTCCCTCCGCGCCTGCAGCACGGCGAGCCCACAGGCGGCGCTCCGCGAACACTCTGTTCTCTGCCGACAGAAGAAGCTGCCGCTGGCGGCACCGCGGGAACCGCCGCACAGCCCTCCCCAGAGCAAAGCGATGACGGTGGTGGAGTACAGCGGTGCGCCGAGCACGCCAGGCCTCATCGACGCTCCGGCCGCCATGGAGGTGAGGGCGGCGAAGTAGGCGGGCCAGGCCAGGGTGAAGGCGGTGCCACCGGTGTCGGGTGGGCGGTGCCGGCTCGCGAGCGGCGTGTCGCCACCGCCGAACGGGCTCGGAAGCTGGCGGGCGAGCCGGCGGTATCCCGCGAGAGCGAGGCAGAGCACGGACGCGAGGGCGAGCAGCAGGTCGGGAAGGAATGAGGCCAGCCCGGCCGCCGGCTGCAGAGCGCGTGCTGTCGGGCTCAGCGCGCCAGTCAGCGCGAAGGTCGTGGCGCACACCGAGAGCAGCAGCGCGGCGGCCTCGACGAGGCGTGGCGACAGTGCGAGAAACAGGGCGCCACTCCAGAGAAAGAGGAGGAGGTAGACGGCCGAAGCGACGCAGGCCGGACGGCACACGCTCGCTGCGAGGAGGCAGACGCGAAAGAGACGCATTCGGTCTAAACCCGCAAGGAAAAATGCGCCTTGCGGAGCTGGGAATAGGACCGCCGCGAGCGGCGTGGCGTGGAGCGGTTGTGCATCCCTCCGGGGGCCCCTCTGCGCCGGGGAGGCGTTGTTGGAGCTAGGCCGCAAGCCTCCGTCGCCCTTTTTCATTCAAACTCGGGGCCCACTCCGCTACGCTCCGACCCGAATTTGGGTGGGGGAGATCTTGAATTTGGAGAGAGAGATTTTTAGCAATACTTGGAGGGCCTACCTAAAAGTTTAAGGTGTTGCTGCACAAAAGGGGAAGACGCTGCACGCACATAGTGTGAACTAGTGTGGGACCTGCGGCGGTACCCGTCTCTGTTGTTCGGGCAGTGAGAGACGCAGGATCTGCACGCCAAAGTGGGCCACTCATTTGCATTTTGGTTTTGGGTTGTCGGAGATCATCCATCAGCACTCATGTCTCATCAGTCAGTCACGTCAGTCAAAGCAGTTCGTGGCACTCATCAGTCAGTCACGTCAGTCAAAGCAGTTCGTGGCACTCATCAGTCAGTCACGTCAGTCAAAGCAGTTCGTGGCACTCATCAGTCAGTCACGTCAGTCAAAGCAGTTCGTGGCACTCATCAGTCAGTCACGTCAGTCAAAGCAGTCGTGGACGTGGAGCAGTCGCTGCATGCAACGGCGCCGCCACACGCTCCGGACGACCCCGACACACCACGCACAATGGGAGGCTATCGCGCACGATCGGGCATCGCGCCGCAAACAACTCGCCGCACAGATGGGGGGGGAGGCAGAATCCCACACACACCGGAGCAGCACAGACACCTTACACGTCAGCGCTCGCTCGATGTGGCCGGCGCTCTCCCCTCGGTCCTATCTCGCCTTTTCAACGGCGGCGTGCGGCCACGCGCCGCGCCGAGCCGGTCTCGGCGGGAGACCTCGGAGCCGCACGCGATGCGGGCATGCGCGATGGCTCCGTTGGCTCCGTGCCTAAGGCAGATCGATTAGGGTGTGAGCTGCGGCAGCCACCGTTTCTGTACCCGCTCGATCACGTGCAGGCCGTCGGAGGCCGCGCTGGATGGCCCAGGGCCGGCGGCGGTGAAGGCGTCCGTCGATGAAGGGATGTCGTCGAGGGAGCCATCGTCCTACGCGGCTGGTGCACCAGTCCAGTTGTCGGGAGTTCGAGATCGCAGTCGACTTGGAGAGTGTGTTCGGCCCGTTGACGAACTCACGGAATGTGAGCGACTTGGTGCACGCTGGGTCGAGCATCATGACTCGCACCTCATCCTGGGCGAGGAAACTCGCCCAGGGACCAGCTGTTGGCGTCGCCGTTTTGATCGAGCTGCATCCACTGCATGGTTTCGTAGTCAAGCGTAAACGCCCAGGAGTTGGTGCCTGGGTGACTTGCTGATGAGAGCGCCTTCCAGGCGGGTAGTCGTGCCCCTCACCTACGGTCATACGGCGGCGTCAGAGGGGGGGAAGGGGCGCGAAGCGTGAACATGGAGGCAAGCAGGTGGTGGCTGCACCTGGCCAAAGCCGGCGACCTCGAAGTTGTCGTAGCTTGTGCGGATATCGCTGAGCGTGAGAGGGACCGGATCGGCAGCAGCATGGGCGGCCGCGTCAGCGGCCGGAGAGGCCGGAGAGCCATCCGACGGAGGCCGGTCGTGCATCGGCGCGTCAGCCGCAGGGGCCGGGGGGGCGGCGGCATCCATCGCTGCGGGTCGCTGCGGGCCGACGATTGTGGACTGATCGATCGTGGCGGGCGGATTTCGGCTGGGACGTTCTACGGTTAAACCAAGAGCGTCGGCGCCGACACGAGAGACTTATAAGGGTAGAAACGTACTTCCTCTTAGGCGGCAACAACGCTACCTCCAGTATCGTAGTCTTTGTTAGTATCGAGGTCTCGCGATTTTTGGGGGTTCTCGGCGCCGCGACAGCGCTGCGAGCCGCGCGATGCCACGGCGCTCGGCCTGCTGAGAGAAGAGCTTCCCGGACGGCAGTGACAAGTTACCCGACATCAATCGTCGACGGCAACCTCGAGAACTGCGCCTCCAAAGTCGCCCAGATTCGCCTCTCGCGGCGCGCTGAGTTAGTATCGCCGGTGCGCCAGCAGGCTCTGCTCCACAGCAGGGCATGCCCGACTGGCTCCTGCTAGCCGTGCGTCCTGGTGGCATCCATTGCCAGCTCAGGTAGCCTCAGGAGGTCGCCTCGCGCACGACGCGGCGTCGCACAGCACCGCTCAGCGTTACTATCGAGTTAGTATCGTCGACCCACAGAGACTGCTCTTCTGTAGGTGGAGCCGACAAACGCCGGCCGGGTCGGCGCCGCCGCCCCCATCGCCGCCGCCGGGGCGGCGGCGGCCTCGGCGGACCATCCGGCGCGCCGCGCGCCCGTCGGGGAGGTGTTCACCACCCCTGGCTCCTCACCCCGCCACGCCTTCGTGCGGACGCCGTGGCACCCACCTCAGGCGCCGCTCGGACTCGGTTGACGGCCACCCAAGTGCTTGGCTCGTGCCAAGCCGACCGGCAGGCGATTCCCAGTCACTGCTAGGCTAATCTCGGGCTGTCCTGCGTCAGTGTGGTGCCGTTAGGGGCGCCGCCCCCAAAACTACGATCGTTAGTTGTAGTACCGTGCGGGGGCAGTGCATTTAATTCTGTCAAAAATCCAAATCTGCTCCGTGGCGCTTATTGGGCTAGGATCATACGTCCGGGAGGCCCCCCATGCGTGCCGTAAAACGATCGACAGCGATCTGGCTACTCTGTTCACGTTCACCCCTCGTAAACCCCCCATCGCCATGGATCTCCAGGACGTCGCCGTCGCCTAAGTCGGCCATGTCACGCAATGCCCAGCTGCCAGCTCGTGCTTTTGCGACGCAGCTCTCCGGGCACACAGCCACCAGCCCGCGCAAACACGCGCGTTTTCTTTATCTCGCTTTTAGTCGCTGGGGCTCCAAAGGATGCGCCATGTGCGAGCTAGCTCTACTAATTGTCCCGTGTTTGCCGGTCATCGACGTTCTGCGCACGACCTCGCAACCGATCAAACCTGCTGCTGCACCGGCACCGATGCCGATGACGACGCCTCGACACCAGCGCCGTCGCGCGGCGGATCCTCCGCAGAGCTGCGGCTGCTTATCTTGCCGAACACACGGCTGAGGCCGCCAAGGCTGCGCTTCGCGAGGCTGATGCTGCCCTCAGCGACGCTGCCCGAAACGAGGAGGTCCGCCCGCGACCGAGCGGGGGTCGCGCCTAGGCTCTTTGCCAGAAGCACGAGCGACACCTGCGGACAGGGACGCCCCTCGTCACGACACGCTCGATGCGGGGGAGCGCTCGCTGTGGGGGAGACGGCGCGCGCCTTGCGGTGGCGGCCGGGGAAGCAGGATTTTGCCAGGTCCTTGTAGAGTCCGCCAGCGATGAGCTCCTGCGGCGTTGGGGGAAGAGGGTTGGGGGGAGGAGGGGTGGCTCGGGACGGGCGCCACGTTGAGACATTCGCTCCTGCGGTGTGACTTCGAAAAACCTCGAGAACTGGCAGCCGCCGAGGTCCGGGTCATTCTCGTGCGCGATGACGATCTTCAGCTTGTCCTCCCGCGCCTGCTTGACCTGCTCGGCCAGCCGCTCGTCGCTGACGAAGCTGTCCTCGTTGAGGTAGAGAAGCATGTGCGTCGCACTGGCCGGCCGATCATCGGTGGTGGAGATCTTGAGACCGGCAACGGCGGCGGCGATCTCGTTGGCCAGCGTCAGCGACCCCGCGTTGGCAGGAGAGGCCCAGAGCGTGCACGGTTTGGAAAAGGCGAGCGACTGGCTCTCGAGCTCACCCGACACGCAGAGCGGAAGGGACGTCCTGTCCAGAAAGTTGGGCGAGCAGAGGAGCACCGCCTAGGTTGGTTCAAGTGGGGTTGGCCGGGAGGTAGAGTGAGAGAACGGAGCTGGTTGTGGCCGGCGGCGCCTCGGCGATGATCTTGAGGGAGATGAGCTGAAACTCATCGATGCGATACCAAATCGTGAGCGGCCAGTCGTTGTCAAAGATGGCCGGCTGTAGGTCCTCGGGGCACTCGTCGCGCAGCGCCTGGAGCGTCCCGCCGCCCTTTTCAGGGTCCGCTTCTTGGACGAGGACGAGCGGCTTGTCCTTCTCGAGCGACGAGCGAATCTCTCGGAGGCAGTTCTGTGTGGCGCGGGAGAGGCGCGAGTTCTTGGGGCCAGGGTGCGGTAGAGGTGGGGTGGGAGGGAGAGGCGAGCCTTGGAGCGGAAGTAGCCCCTCGAGAGGAAGAAGAGGATGGCTTGCGAGCGCTGGATGTACTCCTCCAGCGCCCCAATATCCTTCAGATCATCTACCTATGAGCACACCGCGGTGCGTCAGAGGGGCTGTGTTTGTGTAGCTAGCGCTGCTGGAGCATGTGCGCGCGTCGAGAAAGACTTTGATGTCCGGCAGCAGCTGCTGGAGCTCACCCTTGATGACCTTGACGGCGTCTTGACCGGTCGACCTATTCGTTTGGGAAAGGGCGGGGGTCACGCCGGCTGTTTTCGCTCCCTCTTCTGCCTCCATGACTCACCAGATGTGGCTGTTGAAGAGGTGCCACGTGAGGCCCCTCACGATGCTCATCTCGGGGGGCTGCTTGGTCGAGACGAGGCGGATCGTGGGGACCTTGGCGACGCGGCGGGCGGCGACGATGGCGCCGACGAGGAAGAAGGCGAGCACGACTGCAACGAGGATGATCATCGAGTCGACAATCACATTGAGGCTGCGGAAGCCGAGGACTGCATTGGCATCATCGATCCCGGAGCGCTCCTGGATGCCGAGGAAGATGGTGCTCCAGTTGGTGCCGAGGAAGAGGAGGAGGAGCACGAGGCTGGTGGCGACGGCGAGCACGTTGTCCTCGACCCGCTTGTACGGCCGCACGACGGCGAGCGCGACGGCGTAGCATGAGCAGATTAGGGTCGCCACCACGAGGCGAACAAAGGCTCGCTCCTCCGGTATCAGCAGCACGAAGCCCGTGAGCACGAGCTTGCGCGCCAGCTCGACCGCCTCCCACCAGTACCAGGTCTTCTTGTACTCCCGGTGCAGGAAGGCGGTGGCCCGCGTCAGAGCATTCGGCGTCTTGGACTGCAGCGGCTTGTAGCAAGCGGCGAGGAGCGACGTGAAGAGGACCAGCGAGCCGGCGGGCCAGAGGGCGATGAAGCCGATGGCGAGGCCGGTGATGGGTCCGTGATCGTCGGAGCCGCACTCGACGCTCGCGTCCTGCCGCATGTAGGAGACCTGCCGCAGGGGCTCGTTTGGCGGAGAGATGGTGTAGGCCTATCAGCAGAACATCGCGAGGACTGAGGGGTGTGGGGTTGTGAGCAACGGCAGTCAGCTGTGAGAGGGCGCCTGGCACGACCAGGATTGGAAAATGGAGGCGCTGATGGAGGGCACGAAGCAGAAGATGAGCACCAAACCGGCCGGCGTGAGGTCGAGGAGGCCGAGGGCCGCCTCCGCGTACCACGCTCTCTCGCGCGGCGGCGGGGCAGCACGCCAGCCGTGGAGCCGCAGACTTATTCCCGCAACCATCAGCAGGGCGATGAGGGCGACGGGGGAGAGGGCGATGGCGAGGAGCCGCAGAGCGTAGCCGAGGCACTGCTCCGGCAGGAAAAAGCCAGACCAGTCGATGGAGATCACGTTGGCCAAGTTGTCCGTCCAGCCTGTGTACTTGTCCGGCAGCCGCGCGGAGTAGGTGGAGGAGAGGACGGTGCAGATCTGGTAGAAGCCAAACAGGATCTTGAGCTTTGCCGTCATTCCGACCCCGACGTAGTACTTGACGGAGCGGTCTGCAAAGCGAGAGATTGGGCCGATGTACGGCTCCTTCCGCCAGGCCGTCATGCTGTAGGCCCAAGCCGCGAGGCCGCAAGCGACGCAGAGGCCGAGGACGATGCCGACGATGCGACCCGCCGCCGCGCCGCGCGGAGTGCACTCCTTGCACTCGTCGCCGTCGACGAGGTGGTGATTCTCCGCGGCGCAGAGCTGGCACTCGGGGCCTTTGAAGCCAGGGGCGCAGTATTCGTCCGAGCCCGCCTCCTCCAAAAGGCGAGAAGCCTGGTTGGCTCCGTGCTCGTTGCCGGCGCACCGCGCCTCGCCGGCCCTGTCGCCCCCGAGGTCGCGGCACGCCGTCAGCACGGCGGAGGAGGGGCTGGCGCGCCAGTAGCCGGTTGGGACGCCGAGGGTCGCGAGAGAGGTGTCGTCCGAGCACTCGGCGTTTGGCGGGCATGGCTTGCAGTAGTCGGTCGGGGAGGAGAAGATGTCGGCCGGTCCGGCGCTCTTGAGCAGGTAGAAGTCCTTCTGGCAGACGGAGCAGATGACGGCGCCGCGCTCACTACTGAGGGGATGGGGGCAAGGGACGCACTGGCCCTGGCCGCGATTGGCGGCGTAAGTGCCTGCAGCGCACTCGCTGCAGGCGCTGCTGCCGACGCCAGACGTGGTGCCGGGCTCGCAGCGCTCGCACTTGGAGAGGCCAGCCGTGGCGGCGTAGCTGCCCTTGGCACACGGCGTTTGCTGCGTGGCGCCCGAGGTAGCGAAGTGGCCCGGATCGGCGTCCGTGCACTCGCTCGCGCCGGTCGCGCCCTGGTAGGAGCCCTCGACGCACAGCTCGCAGACCTCGTTGCGGGTGCCGCTGGCGAAGCTGCCCTCGCCGCACGCCGTCTGCTCGGTGGCGCCCCGGGCGGCGATGTAGCCCGGATCGGCGGGCGCGCACTGCGACGCGGCCGACAGGTCCGTCCTGTTCGAGTAGGACCCGCCCTCGCACGGCAACGGCCTCGACGCGCCCGGCTCACAGTAGCTGCCCATGTCGCACGGAAGGCAGCTCGTCGCGTTCGACTCACCCTGGTAGGTCCCGCCCGCACAGCTGGCGCACGCGGAGAGGCCGGCCGTGGCGGCGAAAGAGCCCGGCGAGCACTCGGAGGGCGGCGCCGCCCCGCCGCCGCACGACGAGCCGGCGGGGCAAGCGAGGCACTCGGGGTCGCCGTCGCGATCGGTCAACCTCGCGTACGTGCCCGCCGCGCACTGCGCGTCCAGCTCGCGCGACGACCCCACCGGGCAAAACTTGCCAGCAGCGCAGCGGACGCAGGCGGCGGCGGCGGGCTGGTCCTGGTAGTACCCCTCGGGGCACAGCTCGCACGCGTCGTTGCGGGTGCCGTTGGCGAAGCTGCCCTCGCGGCACGCCGTCTGCTCGGTGGAGCCGGTGGTGGCGAAGTGGCCCGGCGAGGCGTCGGTGCACTCGCTCGCGGCGGAGAGGTTGGTGGCGCTCGAGTAGCTGCCAGCGTCGCACGGCAGCGGCGCCGCCGCGCCCGGCTCGCAGTAGCTGCCTTTCTCGCACGCGAGGCAGCCCGTCGCGCCCGTGTCGTGCTGGTAGGTCCCGCCCTCGCACGGCTCGCACTCGGAGAGGCCGGCCGTGGCGGCGTAGCTTCCCTTGGCGCACGGCGTCTGCTGCGTGGAGCCGGTGGTGGCGAAGTGGCCCGGCGAGGCGTCGGTGCACTCGCTCGCGGCGGCGAGGTCGGTGGCGTTCGAGTAGCTGCCCTTCTCGCACGGCAGTGGCGCCGCGGCGCCCTCAGCACAATAGTGGCCCGGCACACAGACGCGGCAGCCCGTAGCGCCCGTGTCATTCTGATACGTCCCTCCGCCGCAGCTGGCGCACTCGGAGAGGCCCGCCGCTACCGCGACGGTGCCTGGCCGGCACGGCCCGCACGTTGTGCTGCTTTCCGCGCCCCGCGTTGCGCTAGCGGTCCCGGCGGGGCAGGACTCGCACGCGGCGCTCGAGTTGGACCCGTTGGCCGGGTTGAAGGTCCCGGCGGGACAGGGCTCCCAGACCATGCGTGTGGCGGCGCCCGCCTCGTCGCAGTAGCCTCCGCGAGGGCAAGGGTCGCAGGCGGAGAGGCCGACGTCGGGAGAGAAGCTGCCCGCTGCGCAAGGAAGGCACTCCTCCTCTCCCGCGAGGGGCTGATGCTGGCCCGGAGCGCACGGGATGCAGCTCTCATTGCTCGCCGCGCCGAGGGCGGGCATGCGAGTGCCGACCGGACAGGGCTCGGGGTCGGCGGTCCCCTCCTCGCAAAAGTGGCCCCTGGTGCACTGGCCGCTGCAGGAGGAGTTGGTGAGGTCGCTCGTTGCCCCATAGTAGCCAGCGGGGCAAAGATAGCACTCGGGGGCGCTGAAGTCGCCGAAAAAGGCGCCCTTGGTCGGCATCCAGCGGCCCAAGTGGCAGCCCCAGTCTATCGGCGAGTTGATAGTCTGTATCGTGGGGCGCCCGCTGGTACCGTCGTTGCCGGTGAAGGAGGCGTCGCTGATGGAGGTTTGTTCGATGTCTTGCAGGTACAGCACCGAGCCTGAGTAACCCGCTCTGCTGTTGATGAAGTCGACACTCGCGATGGAGAGCAACTCGCTGCTCCTCGCGTAGACGACGCCGCCCTCCTGCGGTTGCGAGGAGAGAGCGGGGTGAGGCAGCCGTGGCCCAGCGGGGCGCTGCAGGGCGGCTAGCTCTACGCGGCGCACCATGTTAGCATGGCAGTCCCGCACGGTCGACTCGATGATCTCGACGTCGCCTGCGCCGAGAGCGAACACAACGCCGCCGTAGTCCACCCTCCCGTTGACGAGGGTCAGCCCCCGCAGGGTGAGGCTGCAGCCGCCCTCGAGTTTAAAGAGCCCGGTCGATCTCTGGCCGTCGAGCGTCGCGCCCTCGCCGCTGCTGGCGACGGTCACCTTGATGTTGGAGGTGCAGCTGATCTGGCTGAACAGCTTGAACTCTGCACTGGGCGGCAGGTAGATGGAGACGTCGGCCGCAGTAGAAGTAGCGTCCTCGATCAGGTTGCGGAGCTCGGCCTCGCTCGCCGCGGCGACAAAGTCCGGGGAGAGCGGCGGCAGAGGCGGGGGCAGCGGCGGCGACGGCGGCGCAAGCGAGAAGGAGACGTCGTCCAGCGCCATGTCCGAGCTCCAGCCATTTCCCGTCAAGCCGTTGAAGCGCACTTTCGTCGCCGAGGCGGGTAGGATCACCGCCGCGTCGAGCCAGCTATTGCCCTGGTTGCCAGTCCGACTCCAGAGCGTCGTCCAGCCCGTCTCGTCGTCGTAAGCCTCGAAGGAGATGGTGCCCATGGTATTATAGCCATTACCGTCGTACATGTGGTAGGCGAAGGAGAGGGTGGCGTCCCGCTGGAGCGCGAAGAGCGGGCTCTCGAGCCGGTGCAGCTTGTTGTAGCGACTACTGGCCTCGGTGTAGAGGTAGTAGCCCGAGCCGGTGGTGTGGTCGCCGCTCGGGCCTGTGTTGGACGATGGAGTGCCGCCGCTCGTGCGGGTCCAAAGGTACCCGTCTGGCGCGGTGTCGGTCCAGACGCAAGTGTCGACCTCGAAATCACAGCTCAGCTGCACCATGCCGGGTAGAAGAGGGGGTGAGGGCGGCGGCAGCGGTGACGGCGGCGGCGGCAGTGGCGGAGACGGCGGAGACGGCGGAGACGGCTGCGACGGCGGCGACGGCAGCACGTAGACGCGAACCCCGCAAAGTGTGAGAGTTCGGCTGCTGCCCGGCAGCGAGATGGCCAATGTATCACCCGCTGCGTCGCAAGTGACGAGCTTGTTCTCTCCAGGGCCAATCTGCACATCGTTGGCACAAGTCGACGACGATACCTTGACGGTGAACCCATTCAGACGGTCCGAGCAGCAATCGCCGCGATTCAACACGCGGACAGCGACCACCGTGTAGGTGGATGGGAACGTCACGCGCCACCATGGGTCAGGCGAGGTAGCTGTGTGAGTGCACGTTCCGTCGGACCAGCTGCTGCTTGGGTTCGACGAGGCAACCGCTCGGGAAGCAACACCGCCATGATCGGTGGAACTTTGTGAAGTAGAAGCACTGCTCAAGTCGAGCTCGACGAGGGGAGGCAGCGGCGGCGGAGGCGACAGAAGCGGCGGCGGCGGAGAGGACGGCGGTGACGGAGGCAGCGACGGCGGCGGCGGCGGCAGCGACGGCGGCGGCGGAGAGGACGGGGGGAGGGGGGCGAGGGTGAACGTCTCGCTGCCGGAGGATCCGGAGTCGAGCGTGAACGTATAGCCCGCACCCTCCCACAAGTTGCCGGTCCAGCCGTCGCCGTACGAGTCGTACATGTCGAGCGTGCACTCGCCGGGCGGCGCGGACAGAGTGCCAGAGTAGGGGGACCCTCCACTGCCGATTAACGCGCCGCTGCACGTCAGGGTCCACGACACATCGGACTCAAAGATGCCGCCACCCACAGTGACCTGGAAGTCGATTGATGGAGCGGACGGCGGTGATGGAGCGGACAGCGGTGACGGGGGCGGAGAGGGTGGAGATGGCAAGGACGGCGGCGGCGGCGGAGAGCAATCAATGCCAGAAACATCAATGCACGCCTCAGCGTTCGGTGGCCCTTCCTCCCCGGTAGGATCGTAGGGATAGCACCTCGGAGGGATCCCACCGACGCACGCGAAGCACTTGCATGCGGCGCACGCACCACATGCATTCTGCGACGGTGAAACTGGCGGTGCTGAGGGAGGCGGTGCTGAGGCGGTGCTGAGGGGGGCGAGGGTGAACGTCTCGCTGCCGGAGGATCCGGAGTCGAGCGTGAACGTATAGCCCGCACCCTCCCACAGGTTGCCGCTCCAGCCGTCGCTGTACCAGTCGTACATGTCGAGCGTGCACTCGCCGGGCGGCGCGGACAGGGTGCCAGAATAGGGAGCCCCTCCACTGCCGATCAACGCGCCGCTGCACGTCAGGGTCCACAACACCTCGGACTGCCCGTCGCCGCCACCCACAGTGACCTGGAAGTCGATTGGCGGCGCCGGCGGCGGCAGCGACGGCGGCGACGGAGAGGACGGGGGGAGGGGGGCGAGGGTGAACGTCTCGCTGCTGGAGGATCCGGAGTCGAGCGTGAACGTATAGCCCGCACCCTCCCACTCGTCGCCGTTCCAGCCGTCGCCCCACGAGTCGTACATGTTGAGCGTGCACTCGCCGGGCGGCGCGGACAGGGTGCCAAAGTAGGGGGCCCCTCCACTGCCGATCAACGCGCCGCTGCACGTCAGGTCCCACGACACCTCGGACGGGTAGCTGCCGCCACCCACAGTGACCTGGAAGTCGATTGATGGAGCGGACGGCGGTGAGTCAACCTCGCCAGAGCCAATCTCCCCAGAGCCAGTCTCGCCCGACGCGGACGGCGGCGGCGGCGACGGCGGCGGGGACGGCGGCGGAAGGGACGGCGGCGGCGGCGGCGGGACCGGCGCCTTGGCCGGAGGGTACGGCGGCGGCGACGGCTCGGGAAATTCGGGAGACGGCGACGGCTCAGGCTCGGGCGACGGCTCGGGAAATTCGGGAGACGGCGACGGCTCAGGCTCGGGCGACGGCTCGGGAAATTCGGGAAACGGTGACGGCTCGGGCGATGGAGCTGGCGACGGCTCGGGAGATGGCGACGGATCGATGTCAACCTCGCCAGAGCCAATCTCCCCAGAGCCAGACTCGCCCGAGCCAGACGTGTAGGCTGATGGTGCACATGCCAGCGGGAGCAGCGCGGCGAGAATCAGCAGCCACGCGCCACGCCTCGCCCCCGTCCGGCACCGCACGAGGCGCCCGGAGGTGCTCCGCCGCACCGAGAGCAGCACACCGCAGCACGCTCCGAGCAGCAAGGCGGCCCAAAGCTGACCGCGCTGTCGGGCGCGGCCAGGCGCGGAAGAGGAAGGTCCGCTCGTGAAGGGAAAGTGGAACGGGGAGGCGGGCTCGTCGGTGAGCGCGTGGCGAGGCTCCGCGTGCCACGCAGGGGCGGCACAGCGTGGCTGCCAGTCGGCGCACACACTTGAGACCGAGAAGAGATCGGACTCGAGCGCGTTCGAGTCGGCGAGCTGAGCGGTGCGGACCTCTGCAGGCCACGCCACCTCCTCAAGCGTGGCCGCGAGAAGAGGGTCGATGGCCCAGCCACGCTGGAGGAAGAGATCCTTGGTTGGGACTCGAGAATCGTTCGCCAATCCGTCGTTCGCCCGCCACCCGCCGCCGGCGTGCATGCTACAGACGGGCGCGCCGAGGCCAGTCTCAACCAGCTTCCGCATCTCCAGCATCCCAAGCTTCCGAGCGTCGGCGGGCCGCAACTCGGGCGATGTGTCGTTCACGGACAGGACGGTGTCGCGCCCCCGAGCGATGATCCCCGTCCTGTTGCTGTAGATGGGACCGACAAAGTCAATCTCGGGCTCGCCCTTGCGCTCCGTGCTGTTGCGCGAGGCGAGGACGGTCTCCAAGTCGGCCTCGCCCTGCACGCAATGAAACACACAGGCAATCCGTCAGAGGGCTACTACGCTCGCACACAGAAACAGCGGAGGGGCGCTCACCGGCTGCTTCTCGTAAACGTCCTTGACGGACGCCGGCGGCTCGCCAAGCACGCGCAACGGCTCGCCCACTGCCTCGTCGATCTCGTCCATCAGTGCTTCCCACAAGCGCCCCTCCTCGTGCCCGCCCTGAACAGCGCGCGGGCTGTTGGTCACGAGCTGGCGCGGTACTAGCAAGCGCGAGCGAGCACGCACCGGGTGGTCGGCGGGCGCGCTGTCCGTCGACACGATGGCTGCATACGAGCTGGTGTCGTCGCCGCCAACCTCGCAGAAGCCGTTAAGCGATGCCGGCGTGAACGGCGTTTTGACTGCGGGAAAGGAAGTCGGGGACTCGTGCCACTGCGAGGAGAGAAGCGCGGAGGTGGCAGAGTACGAGGAGAGCGCAAACGCGGTTCCGAGGCAGAGCAGCGCGAGGATGCCAAAGAGGCGGAGCAAGTAGGACGGGCAGAACTTGGGCCAAGAGAACCAGCCGGAGGCAGAGACGGAGCCCTCCGGCGTGGTAATCGTGGTCGTCTCGACGTTGGCCGTCACGCCCTGAACAGGAGGGCGGGAGACTGGCGGTTGAGCGGCGAGCGGGGGAGGAGGCCGCATATATGCAGGCGGCGAGCACCGAGTCTGTGGTCGACGGCGTGGAGCCGCGGGGCACCTTGCCGGTGCCACCGAGGGTGCCCTCCTTGCCGTCCGTTCCGAGCAGGGCCCCGAACCCGTTCTTGCAGCCGACCGGGGAGTTGTTCTTGACGTGGCAGATCGGGGCGGATGCGCCCTTGCGCCCGTTCGTGCGGCGCGGGTTCGACGGGGTGGTCCAGTCGAAGATGCCCTGCGCACGCGCAAGCGATGGGTGCGTCAATAGTTGAGGCTCTGCGCGTGCACCGCAGCGTACGAGGCGATCGGCGCCGTGACGGGCTTCTTCCCTGGCACCTCCTTGGCCGAGACAGCCCAGTCGGCGTCGCCCTACGCAATAAAAGCGGGGTGGGTCAAGGGATTGGTCGGCAGACGCACGGCGCAGAATGCAAGGCGCTCGCCGCCGGGGCGGGCGTCTCCTCGGGAGCCTCCTCGCTCGACGGCAGCGGCGCGCTGCCGGCGGCGACCGGCTCGAGAGCCGACGCGTCTTCGGTGACCGGCTTGAGAGCTGGCGCGTTTGTGGTGACGCCGTTGGGGTCCGTCGTCGGGTCGGTCGGGCGCGAAAACTTGGACCAGAAAACGGCGCTCGCGCTCGGCTTGCCGTCTTCGGCCGGCAAAATGCCGACCTTCACTGTCTCGTTCTCTGACATTTGATTCGCACCTACTCGCAGCGTTCGCAGCTTGAGGCCCAGCACCAAGGCACGCCGCGGCCCGCAAGCCTTCGCTCACGTTGTTTTGGTTCTGGGAGGACGCAAGCGACAGCGGGCGAGAGTCAGCATAAATGGGATGAGCGGGGCGCGGGCTCATGAGTCGCGCAGTGGGCGCGGCGGCGCTCCGCCCGCGATCTCTCTCTCGCGCGTCCACGGCGCTCGGAATGAAGCCGGGCGGCGGTGCGAGGCGGCTGTGTCGCTCTCTTGCCGGGCTCGCGCGGGGGCTTGGGTGGAAAATGGGCCGCAGCGACGCGTCTCGCGGCTCCTCGATGGCCGCAGCCGCACCTGCGAGCGGGAGGGGGCAGCTGGTGCGAGGCCGAGGGTTGCATTGGATGTGCGCAAACAGCTATCATTGTGGAGGTGAACGGGGTCTGGAATGCGAGGGGAGGGGACGGGGGACAAAGTCGGTGAGCCTGCGGGGCGGTGGAGGGGGGAGCGGTTCAACGTTCAAGAGGGCATGCAAGCGGCAGCTGGCTGGCAGAGGAGGGGGACGGTGGGATCGCTCCGGCGACGAAGGGGCTGATGGAGACGAAGCTGACGGCAGAAACGGGGTGCGGCAGAGGAGGAGGCAGACAACTTGCGATGTCGGAGGCGGAGGTCAGGATGGCGGAGGGCGGCGGCGGCGGAGGGTGGAGGAGGGCGGCGGAGGGCGGCGGCGGTGAGGGCTGCGGAG